CCGAAACGTCAGCCTCTCTGCTCCTATGATGCTGCTTGGCCTGCTGTATTCATCCAGCCCTGCACCTTGTTGTCTCGGATTCTCCAGCATCTGCAGTTCCTACTATCTCTAAACAATTTTACTATCCCACTTATGCAGTTTTTCTCACCAAGGATCAAACATTAAACTGTTGCTCCTTACTTTTAAGTTTTTTTTAAAACAAGTATAAGTAAAAATTCTATTCCTCTCTTTTCTGCCAAAAAAAATAATAATGTTAATGAAGTCTTTTACACTCAACAGATCAACAGGAAAGCAGCTAACCTAATAGGACTTGTGTATGCTTATTTACAAGCAGCACCTATTACGCACATAAAGCCTTAAACACAGAAAAATCATTGTGATGCGCTACATTATGGCATTGACAAACAAACCTGAATCATAGAACATTTACAATACAGAAGATGGTTAAATTGCCCATTTTGTCTGTACACATCCCTGCAAAAGCATTTCAGCTAGTCCCATTAGGTCAACCTTTACCACATAGTCCTACAAACATTTCCTCTTAAGATAATTATCCAATTCCCTTGTTGAAAGCTACAACTAGCTTGGTTTTCCCACAATTTCAATTAATACATTCTAGATCAGAACCACACACTGCATGAAATGTTTACTTCATGTTCTTTTTCCATTCACTTTAGATCACTGACCTCTGGCTCTCTATCACACACTACTGAAAACAACTTCTCTCCATAATTTTGAACAACTCTTATTATCTATCTTTTTTTTAATTTGCTCATGGGACATGGGCATCCCTACCTGGGCCAGCGTTTATCATTATGCCATCACCTTCCCCTTCTGTTCAAGAAAGTGAAGTCTCTCATTCCTGGAATCATGCCGTTGAAGCTTTTTTGCACCCTTCTTTATGCCTTCATATCTCTCCCAGAGTGTGGTGCCCAGTATTTATTACAGTACCTCAGCTGAGGCTAAACCAGTTTATTAGAAAGGTTCATCATGGTGTCATTGTTTCGTACTCGCTATATTTTTATTTGCAAAGCACCATTTGCATTGTTTATCATTTTTTTAATATGCTCTGGCACCTTTAACAATTTGTACATAAATATCTCCAGGTCCCTCAGCTCCTGTTCAGCCTTTAAAATTGCATCTTGAGTATCTTATCATTAGCCTACGTCCTTCTTTCTAAAAGCTTTCCTACTACCAGTGTTAAACTGCCAACTTTATCCTTACAACCTTTTTTGGACAAATCCTCTGCACAATCCCTGTACCTCAGGTAGATTAGAAGGTCTGGTTAGTAATTGCACAATTTCCATCCCAGTTCACTTAAACTATTAGCTGCATCCCATTCAGTCTTTCATAACTTCAAGTTCAGCCAGCCTTTCAAATAACCACCTACTTAATCATTTTTGCACATGCAAATCTGACACTTCAAAAACAATGGCAGGATTAGGTGTAATCAACATATACTTATCAAGAAGTAAAAACATAACTTGGTGAAGAATCTCAGCACGTCTGGCAGCATCTGCAGAAAGAATGCTGTTAATGTTTTGGGGTGACTCTCCACAGATGCTGCCAGACCTGACTTCTGCTTTTGTTTCAGATTTCCAGCATCCGCAGATCTTTGTTTATTCATGAAGAAGTCGTGTTTGACAAGCCTGTTAGAGATTTGTGAGGATATAGGGAATAGAACTGGCAGACAAGGGGGAATGGGAGGAGATGGTGCATTTGGGTTTTCAGATTTTCAATAAGATCTCAAATGATGTTAGTGAACAAAATTATCCCTAATCCCATGTGCTCTAACATATCAACTTCAATTCAGAACTGGTTAACAGATTTTAAAAACGACAAAAGGAATAAATAGGTCATTTGCAGGTTGGTAAGCTGCAACTAGGAGGATATTTGTGGTACAATGGTAGTGTTCCTACCTCAGAGCCAGGAGGCCCAGGTTCAGATCCCACCTGCTCCAGAGGCGTATAATAAAATGCCTGCCCAGATTGATTATGAAGTATCTAAATGACAATGCCATCTGGGTCAACATTCCACAGGAAGCTGAGGCAAAATTTGGACCCTCACCAGGATATTGGAGGTGGTGGGGTTGTTTCAGTGTTTGATTGGCTTAGGATTTCAAATGGTCCATGTTTTTGGAAGAAAGGATGAACTGAGAAACAACAGGAATAAATGACAGTCTAATCCAATATAAAAAAGTAATTTTAAGTAAACCAAGTAAGGGAAGTAATTTATTAGGAATCTTACACAGCCATAATTTTTTTTCTAAAGAAAGGAGGAACTAAGGAGCTTAAGTGAAGTCATGGCAGTTGGAATCGCACCCATGATATGCTGCCCCTGTGCTATGTGGCAAATTATAGAAGCTTCAGTTGTTCCTGGTGAACACATGCAGGAAATGTGACCAGCTGCAGCTACACCCTTCAGAGCAGCAGCTGCCAGTAAATTCACTGTGAAGCATCTACAATGCTCGGCATGCTGTGGACAGCACATCCAGTGAGGTAATCACACCGCTGATGGAGAAGGTACGGGTGACCACCAGGCACAGTACAGGAAGACAGCTAGTGCAGGAGCCCTCTGTGGCCATCCTTTTTTCTAAGAGATATACCATTTTGGGTACTGCTGGGGGAGATGACTGTGCAGGGGAAAGCAGAGAGAGCCAATTTCATGGCATCATGGATGGGTCTGCTGCACAAGAGGGAGGAGAAGAACAGCAGGCCATAGCACTACTGCTTTGACGCAGATTTTCCTAAAGGTATCGGTTCCCAGTCCACTCTGGCTAAATCATACCTGATCTTATTAAAATGGGTCTTCCGTCAGGACAGAACTTGGATTTTGGACCATCCTTGTACTTTGCCATAACAACCTTACATCTAATGGAGTTATGATCATTCATATTGACTTAGTGTAGGAAACAGAGGATAGTGGTAGAAGGCTGCTTGTTAGACTAGAGACTGGTGTCTGGTAGGAATCAGTGCTGAGTTCCTTATTATTCATGATACATCTAAATGATGTAGATGAGAATGTGAGAGTGGGCCAATAAGTAAGTTTGCAGATGACGTGAAAATTGGCCAGTTGGTTGACAGTGAGGAAGAAGATCTTATGTTACAGGAAGATAAAGACGGATTAGTCAGGTGGGCAGATCAAAGGAAGGTGAAATTTAACCTGATAAGTGAGAAGTGGTGCACTTTGGAAGAAGCTACAAGACAACAGTGTATGCAATGAATGTCAGGACACTAAGGAGCTCCGAGAAACAAAGGGATCTTGAGGTTCTTGTCCATATATCCCTGAAGGTGGCAGGACAGGTTAATGGTTAAAAGGCCTTTATAAATCATGGAATTGATTATAAGAGCTAGGAGGTCATGTTGGAGTTGTGTAAAATTTTGATAAGGCTACAGCTGGAGTACTGTGTGCAGTTCTGGTCACCGCACTATAGAAAGAAAGTGACTGCAGGGGAGATTCACCAGGATGATGCTTGTCATGGAGCACTTTAGCTATGAAGAAAGGCTGAATAAGCTCGGGTTGTTTTCTTTAGAGCAGAGAAAGCGGCGAGAAAACCTGATTGAGGCATATAAGATTATGAGGGGCATTGACAGAGTGGACAGAAAACAGCTTAGTTCAAGGATCAATAACAAGGGGGCATAATTCTAAGGGAAAGGCAGGGAGTTTAGCAGGAAGTTGAGGAGCATTTTTTTTAAACCCTTTGGGTACCTGGCATGCTCTGGCTGTGAGGGTAGTTAAGGTAGGAAACCTCATAACCTTTAAAAGGTACTTGGATGAGCACTTGAAATGTCAATGCATTTAAGGCTGTAGGCCAAATGCTGGAAAGTGGAACTAATGTAGATTTAGATTTTTGTTGGTGTCGACCTGATGGGTTGAAGGGTTTCTTCTACATTCTATGACTCTATCCAGAATCTAGGAATTTCTGAAAATTAAAATCAGTGCATTTCCTAACTCAGCAATTGCTTATTTAAAAGCCATGGGATGTCATCCATCAGGAATGGGGACTCGTCAGCTTTTAGTCCTTCACGGCTTCACTCAATGTCCACACATGTCGAATCCTCAGAGAAACTCAAATAGACAGCGACTGGGATTATTTTACCCCATCACTAGTTTAAACAAGCAAAAGCAACTTCAGTTCCTCAATAAAATCTGGTGCGCAAACAAGGCCTACTTACTTCCAATCTGTAAATGTTCACTTCAGTCTCACTCTGATCCCTAAAGCTGCTGGTTTGCATTGCAATGAAAGCATCTTCTTTCTGAGACAGCCAAGCTTCAAGCAGCAGCTACAATTAAAAAAATACACGAAATACTTTTTAAATTGATTTTCCCCATCACCCCGCCTAATATCATGAAAATTATCGCAATCTCAAGACAGCACTATCAATAAATATACAAATGAGGGTCCTTTTTTTGGAAATACACTGTCTTTTTTTAATAAAAATTGTTCATAACTTTCACCCACCTGTTCTTCTGATAGTCGCTGCCACTTCACAAAAATATCCTGCAGCAGGCGCCATCGCTCTTCTGTCCAACGACAAACAGCTGCCCAGCGCTCACCAAGTGACTACAACAATGACAATCAAAAATTACCACATGCTCATTGGATGAGTTCTACATAGGTTCTGCCATCTTAGCAGTGAATAGCTGAGCCACACAGACTAGAGATGCAAATCACTTCCAGGAAATAAATTTGTGCAGAAGTAAGTGATAGGTTTGTGATAGGCAAATCACATCAGTCTAGGAGTTTTGTAGTTAGTCTTGACTGCGCTTGTTTACACATTTAAAAAGTGAAAATACAACTTAGTTGCGTAGTTTGTAGCCTGCTATATGCCACTTTTCACCCCCCAGTTATTTTCAATTACCTGAAACAAGGGGTTAAAATGCAGACGACACAAAAATTGGTGGAGCTGTGAACAGTGAGGAAGGTTGTCCAAGGATATAACAGGATATAGATCAGTTATAAAGTTGGGCAGAGAAATGGCAGATGGAGTTTAATCCAAACAAGTATGAGGTATGGATTTTGGGAAGTCAAATGCAAAAGCAAAATATACAGTAAATGGCAGAACCCTTAACAGCATTAATGTAAAGAGGGATCTTGGTGTGTAAGTCCACAGCTCCCTTGAAGTTGCAACACAAGTGGATAATAAGGTGATTGTAAAGAGGTCAGCCAGGTGGACCTCACAGAATAGGAGTTCCCAAATTGGGCCTATTAATCTGATCCAATCAGACAGCCCTGGTTGACAGATATCATTCATCATCATTATGAGTGGTCCCTCGCAGACAAGGGTGACTCTCTTCCACTCTCAGGGTAAGTCCGTAGGTGGCTGTACAGACCAATGCGGCTACTGCAGGCTCTGTTACACTTCGGGCAGATGGTGGTCATATGAAAGAGTGGGTGAGGCATTGGTGTGACAGCACATTCCTTTCACAGTTTTTGCCTGGCTTCCACTTTTTCTCAATGGCAAGTTTCGAGACACTCGACACCTTCCCAGTTGCTCCTCCTCAACTTTGGATGGTCTTCGGCCAGTGATTCCCAGGTGTCTGTGGGAATGTCACACTTCACCAGTGAGGCCTTGAGGGTATTGCTGAAGCACTTCCTCTGTCCATTTCAAGCCATTTCGAAGCTGAGAACACAGCACCTGCTTGGGGAGTCTCCTGTCAATCATGCAGACAACATGCCCAGTCTATCGTAGCCAATCAATGGCGGTCAGTGCATCATTGCTGGCGATGTTGGCCTAGTCAAGGACCCTGGTAGTGGTGTATCTTTGTTTCCAGCGACCCACAGGATCTTGCACAGGCAGGGTTGGTGGTACTGCTCCAGCGCCTTGAGGTATCTGCTGTAGACAGTCCACGTCTTAGAGCCATATAGGAGGGTGGGAACCACCACATCTGTTGTTGTCGTCCTCGAACATCCTTTTCCTCAGGCGGCTGAAGGCTGCGCTGGCACACTGGAGGTGGTGCTGGATCTCTTCATCAATAGCTACATTGGCCGACAGGGCACTTCTGAGGTATTGGAAGAGATCAATGTTTTCTAAGGCATCCCGACAGACCTTGATGATCAGGGGTTCACTCCACAATGCCGGGTCAGGTTCAGCTTGCAAATGTTCAGGGCAAGATCCATGCTCTTATTTGCCTCTGCAAAGGTGCTGACGATGTCTGGAGTACATCCTCTGAGATTGCACATACACAAGCATCATCTGCGTACTGCAGCTCGATGACACTGGTTGGGGTGACTTCGGTTTTAGCTTAGAGGTGGTGGAGGTTGAATAATTTCCCACTAGTTCTGCAAGTTAGCTCCACTCCAGCAAGGAGCTTGTTGTCAGTGAGGTGAAGCACTGCAGCGAGACAGATCAAGAACAATGTTGGGGCAATGACTCAGCCCTAAATGACACTGGTCCGAACAGGGAATGGGTCGGTAATGGAGCCATTTGTCATTACCATGGCTTCCACGTCTTCATGGAGCAGGCAGAAGATGGTGACAAACGTCATGGTACAACCAAAACGGAGAAGAAAGCTCTATAATGCTTCCCGACTGACAGTATCAAGGGCCTTTCTAAGGTCAAAGGAAGCTACATACACGGGTAGATTCTTTTCCTCTGCATTACTCCTGCAGCTGTTGCGCAGTGAAAATCATGTCTGTTGTGCCTCTTTGTGGCCAAAAGCCACACAGAGATTCAGGGAGGAGTTCCTCAGCCACAGAGAGGAACCAGGTGAGGAGGACCTTGGCAATGAGTTTGCCAATGGTTGACAACCAGAAGTTTCCCCTGTAGTTACAACAGTCAGACTTGTTCCGTTTTTAGAAAATACTCATGACTGTGGCATCTCGGAGTGGTCCCAGGATGCTCTCCTCCTTCCAGATAAGGCAGACAAGGCCGTGTAGCTGTGCGGGAACTCTTTGCCGCCGCACTTCACTGCCTCAGTGGGGATACCGTCTGCTCCAGCAGCCTTGTTGTTCTTGAGCTGGAAGATGGTCTTTGTGCAAGATGGATGTTGCTGAGCTCATGGGGTGCAGTATGCTGTGGGATGCGTTCAAGGATCAACGACAGAACACTGGTTGAGTAGGTCTCTAAACAGCTTCTCCTGGCCATCAAAAAAATGCTGGGGACTGACAGATAAGAACAGGAGCATCAGACATCCATTCACTCCGAGAGCTGGCTCTGAGGGAGCTGGATTAGTGTCTAGGACTGATCACATGTAAATAAATGTGATGGGGTAATGACTTCTTGTGGAGCTATTTCAGATAAGCTGGTAAAGAAGGGATGCAGCATGTTGCAGCTGTACAAAACTTTAGTTGGGCCACATTTGGAGTACTGCGCGCAATTCTGGTCACCACACCATAGGAAAAACATAAAGGCTTTGGACAGGGTGCAAAAGAGGTTTCCCAATATTTTGCCTGGTTTGGAGTCTATTAGCAATAAGGAAAGTTTGGACAGACACATGAACAGGCAAGGAATTGAGGGATATCAACTAAGTGCAGGCAGATAGGACTAGTTTAGAATGGCATCATGGTCAGTGCAGACATGGTAGGCCAAAGGGCCAGTATCTGTGTTGTACTGTTCTACATTCTACATACAATGACCATGAGTGCCTAGAGTATCATTGGCCACTATAAGACCACTGAAAGAGAACAGATCTTTGGTAGCTTGTTGGGTATGATAGTTCATACTAAATTTAGTCAGTCTCCTCAAAATGTTGGATCAAGTCTCCATGACAACAAAAGCGGTGATAAATGCAATGCAGTAAAATGAATGGCGGAATGGGATACATCAGTCAGACAAAAAAAGAACCATAAGTAGTAGGAATCATAAAGGGGAAAAAGTGAATGTATGAGCTACATAACTTAGAAGCAGTGGCAGCCTGTAAAGATACGACGCCACAAAAAATATTAGTAGCAATACAACATCATTGTAAAGGACATGCAATTGTTTGAGGCAGATGGAAATAGGACACACACACACGCAAGGAAAGAGAAAGTGGGCAGACAAAGACATTCATACAAAGTGTAGGAAGGAAGAAAAAGATATGTACAGAGAGAGAGATGCATAATGAGTGCATGGTTGGACCTAACTCGTTATATTCACGGCTTTCAGCTAAGATGGTACAATTGACCTCAAAAAACCTGTGATTTAGGGGTGGGATAGAAAGGAAAAAGTGGAGATATTGCATTGATTAGTGGTTCTTCACAGAAATTGAATTTGAACGTCAGGTGAGGTTTGAGTCTGACGTAGCCAAAACAATGGACAAATAGGAATAGCATTTATGACAAAGAGATTATGCTGGATGCAAAATTATGCAAATTATTTCCATGCTTGTATCCTGTTATGAATATAGGAAGTTCTTTCCCAAAAATAATCTATATTCAGAAGTTCTATTTCTCTGTAATACAATGTATATAGGGGCAGGTGACTGTACACTGTAGCATCAAGACCGCTTCAGTCATCTGCAGTCATAATCCCAAAGCATCAGCCTAGTAGTTTCAGTTCTCTCACTCTCTGCAGATAAGGTTAACATTTATGTCGAGTTAAACTCTGATCAGTAGCAGTACTTTCACCTGAGTCGAAAGATTAAGAGTCCAGGTTCCACCCTGGAACTAAATTCAGGTTGATTGTTCAGCGTGGTCCCAAGAGTGCGCTGCATAGCAGTAGTGCATCTTTTCGACGAAGCATTAAACTGAGGAACATTTCTGTTCAGGTAGATATAGAAGATACCATAAAAGGAGCAGAAGAATTTGCTTGTTGCACTGGTCAACATTTATCCCATTACCAATAATTACACAAGTTGTTTATCGTGTTGCTATTCTCGTGAACTAATTAACTGTATTTTAAAAGGAATTTAACTTCTACTAACCTTTTTGAATGATCAAATGGGAGTGAGTTGAAAGCAACATTTCCCAATGTTTAGAAAAATTATTTTAATATTTTGAGTTATACTTTCTATTGTAAAGTGTATTGTCATGCAACAAATTCTATCAGTTTCATGGTTGTTGTATTACTAGTCTTGTCAGCCTCTACAAGAAGTCAGTTACCTGTAACTGGTCCTCCAGTGCAGCTGTAGCGCTCTCGCCACTATTCTCATCCACAACCACAACCATGTGTGTCAGAGAGTTCACCTTCACCTGCTCTGTCTCCAAGTCACTTTGCAATAGCTGTAAAAGAATGCAACACACCAGCACACTGCTATTAACTTTATTAATATTGAAGTACCTTAAATTAACAAGAACAGGTCTGGTCTAAATTCATCATAAAAATCAAATGTCAAGGATTAACTACAAAATTCTAACAGAACTTGATAGGGGGCATGTAGACACACTGCTGAGTGTAGAGGCAGGGGACCAATTCTCAGAAATTGGCGCCAGGCCCTTTAAGACCGAGATGAGACATGTCTTCGCTCAAAGTAAGATAAGTCTTTGGAATTTTCCATCCCAGAGGCTGTGGAATCTCAAAACATTGAACATGTTCAAGACAGAAATCAACGGATTTCTGGAAACTGAGGGCATTAAGGGATATGGAGATAGTGCAAACAAAATGGCATTGAAGTAGACGGTCAACAATGATCAACATCAACAGGCTGAATGGCTTCCTCCTGTTTCTATGTTCCTTGATCGGGAACAGATTTTAATATCTCTGGATGACAGTTTCAGAGAACATAAGCCCTAGCAACAAAAACAGAAGTTGCTGGTAATGCTCAGCAGGTCTGGCAGCATCTGTGAAGAAAAAAGTCAGAATTTGACATTTCGGGTGTGGTGACCCTTCCTTAGAACATGAACAAGCAAAACTGGTGATTCTTGTAGCTGCAAATGACAAGTCTACTTTGGCCCATATAGCCATTATTTAGTTTTAATTTTGTGATGTTTCTTTGCTAAAAATCCAAGAAATGTAGTTAAATTGTACCCTGCAGGATAATGGAAATTTAAAGTTGGTGCATGGGATCATAAGATGTGCAGTCATGTAGTAGGTATATTGAGAGGCACAGCCAAGCTATGTGTCTAGCTGATATGGTACAGCCCAATTAGTAGAAGACACTGATTTTGGTGCTTTACTTACAGTTTTTTTTTACTATTTTAACAGTGCATTTGTTGCACATTTTCAAAAATCTTACAACTTTGAGAGCACAAAGAAAAATTGAAGCAACCATAAATCACCATGAATTCCAATAGCTTCAAGTCATATTGCATATCTCTGTTTAGAATATTTGACGAATGCACTGTTAGTCAATAGGAGAACATTTAAGAAAAGTGATCTTTGTATCATAAGGTTTTGACTAGGCATGGATAGGAAAAAAGGAAATCTAGAGCAAAAGACTTACTGGAGGAAAGTGAATTTCTGTGGGTCAAGAATGGATATGTCTAGGGGCAAATTTAAATCAAAGGTTGGCAGGCAACATTGTAACTGTAAAACAGGCCACCTTAATTATGACTGTAAAGAGGTTGTGGTTCAGGTATAGTCAAGGTACATTCCCACAAGAGGGAAAATTAAAGCAACAAATGCCAGAGTTCCCAGCGCAATGAACAAACTTGTTAGTAAGAAAAAGCAGAAAAGGCAGCATATTCCAACACAGATTCATAATACAAATGACAACCAAGCTGAATACTGCACATTCAGAAGGAAAGTGAAAAGGGAAATAATAGGCAAAAGAGAAATGAAGAGAAAGGACTGGCAGACAACATAAAATGGTATCTAAAGGCTTTTTCAAAATTAAATAAATTGTCTAACGTAAATAGTCAACTACTAGGGATCAAAAAGAGGATCAATATATTAAGGCAGAGAAGTTGCTTCCAGGACCACTATTTCTCTTAATCTACATTAATGAAACTTTAACTTGGGTGTACAGAGAACAGTTTCAAAATTTTCAGATGCTTCTATACTCGTAAGTATTATCAACTCTGAAGAAAACAGTGACAGATTTCAAGAGGTCATACCTAAGCTGGTGGAACGGGTTGGCATGTGGAAGGTTAACAAAGAAGTGCAAAATACCTTATTTTGGTAGGAAGGGGTGAGAAAAGTTCAGCCTCAGCTGAAGTATCGTGCTCAAATCTGGACACTTGCCTTAGGAAAGATGTGAAGGGTTTACAAAGGATGCAGAAAAGACTCACATGGTTTACGTGGAAAAGAGTTACAGGGATGATAGACGTCAATTACATGGATAGATTGGATTGTTTTCTTTAAAGAAGAAAGGCTAAGAGAGATTTGTTCAACGTCAGAAGGGTTCTAGGCAGTAGACAGAGAGAAAATCTTCCTATTGGCAGAAGGGTCAAGAACTAGAGAGTGCATATTTAAAGTGTTTGGCAAAAGAACTAAAGGCAGCATGGCAAAATGTGGTTATGATCTGCAGAGCACTGACTCGAAGTGTGGTGGACGCAAATCAAGTCATGGCATCTAAAACGGAACTGAATAAACACCTAAAAGGAGAAAATTTATAGGACCATAAAGAAAAGGCAACAGCAGGGCTCTTGCAGAATTGGCATGAAAATTCTGGGCCAAATAGCCTCTTTCTGTGCAGTAATTCTACGTTTCCATGAAAACTTAGGTTACCTTTTCAGATTTCAATGCTCAAACTACTAGATAAAAGAGAAAATGACTGAATTCCCACCAGAAGCTAAAACCTAAGGCACTAGAGGCTAACAAGTCCAGAGATGCTAAGGCTCTCAAAATTGAAATTTAGTTGATAAGCCACTAAAACGTTAACAGACTTGTTCAAAGGAATGACTGAATAACACTTTTTAAGGTGAAATGCATTAATTCTAAAGAATTTGTTCTTGTACACACACGGAACCACAAGGGTGTAGTTAACTGGGGCAATGATGCAGTGCAAGACAAGGCTTAAATAGATAAAAATGTAGATTAAGAGCTATGAACGGGCTGGATAACAAAGCATGTACCTACAACTGGGTATCACAGCAGTAATGCATACATGAAGACTGGAAGAGGCCTAAAATAATTATGATTCTTAATGTACAGATATCCACTCATCAATAAAGAATGCCCTAAGTTTCAGCACAGGATACAGTCATCAAAAAATGTTACCAAGAGTCATTACACCAACTCTTCTAATCAGCAGCTGGAGTTTCTCAGGTCAAATGCACTTACTTTATGTTCATCAATCTGCAGTTTAAGGGACCCCAACTCATTTACTGCAGATTGTGCTTCCAGCTTTTGAATACGTGCTTCTGTCCGAGTGAGCCAATCTGATAGCTGCCGCAACTGCTGCTGCTGCAGTTCCATTAGAACATCATGAAGCCTGAAACATTAGTGAATTTGGAATTTAATGAGCAACACACAATTGGGAAAAAAGCAGGATGCTAAACTTGGGTTTCAGATTGTGTAGTGGGAGGACGGGCAGTGGTGCTCATTAGGAGTCACCATTATTTCCAAATAAAAGAACATTTCACCAAGACCTGTTGACAACACAGGAGTTGAGCGTAAGTTACATGTTTATCCCTATAATCTTAAACTACTTACATTCACAAGTCTGACACTTCAGGCTTGTGGAGAGTTTGGAGAAATTGGTTTGATCTTCCTCCAAAGAACATTAGAAGTACATTTAACAAAGATATTAAATATCATAACGAATTTTGATACAATAGATAGGGAGATCATGTTTCTAAGGGCACAAGAATCAGTAAGCAGGGGACATATTTTTAAGTTAATTGGCAAAAGAACTTGTGGTGTAATTAGGAGAGGTTTTTCTCAAACCAACGAGTTATGAAGATCTGGAATACACTGCCTGAAAAGTGGATGAAAATATTCCTACATGATAACTGCCCCTACACTTCAGAAAATCAAAGATCAGAGGTCACGAAAGGCACTATGTAAATGAAAGTCTTCATTGGATAACTACTTTGAGGAGAAATACAAAAGCCTATGGTGTGAGAGCAGGTACTAATCAGTTAGTTCTTTCAAAGAGTCTCTATGGGCATACAAGTCCGAATGTTGGCTCCCTTCACTATATCATTCTTTAAGAACAACAAATACTACATCCGAACACAAACCTATTCACATTTTTAACGTGCCTTAAGAATGCTGGGCTCCAACAGACTGCACTGATCAAACTATCAGCATTTCTGTCATTAACTTAAACTGGCTATAACTTTGGCATTTGGACATTGTGCAGAATAATGTGAAATCCAGAAGTTGTTATTCACCCTCCTTCATAGAGTGCACTGTAGAGGTTCCCAAAGACTACAATCTTCTCTGGAAACAAGAACCTTTGATTGCCTGTGGGCAGCACAGTGGCTCAGTGGGGTTAGCATTGTTGCCTCAAAGTGCTAGAGGGCACATTCTCCCCCTATCTGCATAGATGTCCTCCGGGTGCTTAAGTTTCTTTCCACAGTCCAAAGATGTGCAGGTTAGGTGGATTGGCCATGCTAAATTGCCCGCAGTGTCCAAGGATGTGCAGGCTAGTTGGATTATCCACAGGAAATGCAGACTTACGGTGGGGGAGGGGCAGCGCAGGGTGATTTTCAAAGGGTCAGTGTTGACTTGATGGACCACATGGCCTGCTTCCACATTTTTGGGGAATCTATGATCCTAACTCTTAGTCTCACTCTAAAATCCCATAGAAAGTTACGCCTTGTTGAATAAAGTGTAAATAAGTTTTTAAATGTGTGCTAACTTCATAATTATTGCTGAACACATTTACTGCCTCTGCAAAGCTAAATTAATGTTTGTGGAATATGTTCTATGAACAAAGTCAAATACAATAACAGAAGCTTGAGTGATTTGAGTGTGCATGTACACAAATTACTAAAAACACAGCTACAAATCTGATCAAGTAGGCTCACGGAATACTAGCTCCTATCTCGAGCCGGGAATACATGGGAGGAGGCAATGCTTAAGTTATGGGCAGCTTTGGTCAGATCTCATCAGAAGTACTGTAGATCTCAGTAGCTTAGATCTTATGGTCTTTTTAGGGGAATCAAGGATTATAGGGAATGCAGCAAAGTGGATGAGGAATGTCAGATCAACCATGATCCGACCGAATTGTGGAGCAGGCTCAAGGGGCTGAACGGCCTATTTTTGTTGCTCTTTCTTATGGTCTTACTGGTTACTCAAGTCAGAGATCTACAATGAAGTTTTCTTCTAAATTAACATTTAAAGCCTTCCTCCAGCCCTATGAGAACACGCATTAATTCAGCAACTGCTATATATAAGGAGCTCGATTAACTCAGGTGGCAGGATGGCTGGTCTGTGATGTTAATGCTAACAGCATGGATTCAATTCCCATACCGAATTTGGTTACATGAAGGATTCTCCTTCTCAACCTCTTCTCATACCTGAGAGGTGGTGACCTTCAGGTTAAACCACCACCAGTCATCTCTCTCCAATGAGAAAGCAGCACTATGATACAGTAGGAAATTGGAAATTTTACCTCTATAAATAATAGTCTTAAGCTATAAAGACATTTAGTCTGAACAGTCAGTTTAAAACTCACTTGGCTTGTCTGTCCATGCTGGCAACTCTCAGGTTTTCCCATCTAGAATTAAGCAAAGACATCTGTTCTCTGATCTCATTCTCCTCCTCTTCTGTCAGATTGCCCTGGGCAATGAGCTGGTTTCCAGTCTGAAGTACATTACCCACATTACTCTGATGTGCAGTCAGCTCCATCATAAACCCCTGAATCAGAAAGGATAAAACGGGCAGTCAAATGGGAAATGCACAGTTAACAAAATTCATCATTGAATAACCTTAAAGTAATCATATCGAACCAGTCATACTAAACTCAATAACAATCATCATTCTGGTGCACAAAGGTAAGCGCAGCATTTTAGTTTACTATGGATTCACAGATTGTGCACTTCGGCTAATTAAGTCTTTTAAAAATAAATCAGTTTCCAGTCTAAGTCACATAGGTTTTGGAATTAATAAAACGACTTTGAAACCCAAAAAGTGAATTGCCGTTTTTTTTTAATAACCGCACTGCCTTTTTGACCTACTATTAGCACAGAATACCAGCTGTTATAAAGGCATTAAATTATAAACATCCTACAGCCTTCTCAAATGGGGCAAACTATTTTTCAGACAGTCAGTCTAATTCAGAAGAAACGCACGAATGAATCCTGCCAATTTCATGGTCATTTTCATTTGCAAAATAATAGAATCCATAGAATCCCTACAGTGCGGAAACAGGCCATTCGGCCCAACAAGTCCACACAAATATTTCAAACATCCCACCCAGTCTACCCCCTTACCCTATCCCCAAGACCCTGCATTTCCCATGGCCAATCCATCTAACTTGCACATCTTTGGACTTTGGGAGGAGAGGAGAGCACCCAGAGGAAACCCATGCAAACATAGAACATAGAACATTACAGCGCAGTACAGGCCCTTCGGCCCTCGATGTTGCGCTGACCTGTGAAACCAATCTGAAGCCCATCTAACCTAAACTATTCCATTATCATCCATATGTTTATCCAATGACCAATTAAATGCCCTTAAAGTTGCCGAGTCTACTACTTTTGCAGGCAGGGCATTCCACGCCCTTACTACTCTCTGAGTAAAGAACCTACCTCTGACTTCTGTCCTATATCTATCACCCCTCAATTTAAAGCTATGTCCCCTCGTGTTAGCCACCTCCATCCGAGGAAAAAGGCTCCCACTGTCCACCCTATCTAATCCTCTGATCATCTTGTACGTCTCTATTAAGTCACCTCTTAACCTTCTTCTCTCTAACGAAAACAGCCTCAAGTCCCTCAGCCTTTCCTCATAAGACCTTCCCTCCATACCAGGCAACATCCTGGTAAATCTCCTCTGCACCCTTTCCAATGCTTCCACATCCTTCCTATGATGCGGCGACCAGACCTGTACGCAATACTCCAAGTGCGGCCGCACCAGAGTTTTGTACAGCTGCAACATGACCTCATGGCTCCGAAACTCAATCCCTCTATCAATAAAACTTAACACACCGTACGCCTTCTTAACAACCCTATCAACCTGGGTGGCAACTTTCAGTGATCTATGCACATGGACACCAAGATCTCTCTGCCCATCCACACTACCAAGAATCTTACCATTAGCCCAGTACTCTGTATTCCTGTTACTCCTTCCAAAGTGAATCACCTCACTTTTCCGCATTAAACTCCACTTGCCACCTCTCAGCCCAGCTCTGCAGCTTATCTTTGTCCCTTTGTAACCTGCAACATCCTTTCGCACTATCCACAACTCCACTGACTTTGGTGTCATCCGCAAATTTACTAACCCGTCCTTCTACGTCCTCATCCAGGTCATTTATAAAAATGACAAACAGCAGTGGCCCCAAAACAGATCCTTGAGGTACACCACTAGTAACTGAACTCCAGGATGAACATTTCCCATCAACCACCACCCTCTGTCTTCTTACAGCTAGCCAATTTCTGATCCAGAGAACGGGAGAACGTGCAAACTCCACACAGACAGTCACCTAAGGCTGGAATCAAACCCCGGTCCCTCATGCTGTGAGGCAGCAATGCTAGCCACTGAACCACCGTGCAGCCCCAGAAACCAACAGAAATGTTCAGCTCCTGACTGCAAGGTGTTTTCTCTGCTAATAGCAACGGTTAACATCGTCATGAAATTTACACTTCTAAGTTTGACATGAATGGCGATTCTACTGAAACATTTCAGGCTTCCAACATTTTAATTTCCACGGTCTTAACTAGACCACCAATGCACCCAAACACATGACACCTAAACCACTGATATATTGGAGATGATTCTTATCTACCTCTATCACAGCAGCAGCAGCACCTTTCAAAGCATTTCAATCACTCACTTTTTTTTAAAAGAAAGAACCAACTTTTTTAAGCACCATCTGCAACCTCTGGATGTTTAAAAGCATGAGAGCCACTGAACTTTCTTTTTGAGATGTCGTAATTTATGTAACATTTCAGTCAATTTGCAGAAAGATTCTACAAGTAACAAGAATGAGCAGCGAACATTGAGAGAAAGACAGGAGTAGACTATACAGCACCTCGGGTTTGCTCTGCCATTCAGTATAATCATGGCTAAACGTCTATCACTTTCCTGTCCACTCTCAATCTCCATTGATTCCCCAGGAGATTAAAATTCAATCTACTAAAGATTTTGGAGTAGATTTGTAGCTCCGGTTGTGGGTGTTGAGGTTGGTTGGCTCGCCGAGCTGGTTTGTTGTTCCGCAGACGCTTCGTTACCGTGCTTGGTAACATCCTCAGTGCAGCCTCTGATGAAGCGTCGGTGTGTTTTCCCGCCTGGCTTTTAAACTCTGGGGCCCATTGCGATGGATTGCCTCACTTCCGGGTTTCCTCCGTAGTGGAATGTATATGGGGTCGAGTTCAATGTGTTTATTAATAGCCTGCTTCGTGGAGTGCCATGCTTCCAGGAATTCTCGTGCTTGTCTCTGCCTAGCCTGTCCCAGGATCTTGGTGTTGTCCCAGTCAAAGTCATGGTACTCACTCATCTCAATCCACATGGACAAGGAGAACTATGACTTCGACTGGGACAACACCAAGATCCTGGGACAGGCTAGGCAGAGACAAGCACGAGAATTCCTGGAAGCATGGCACTCCACGAAGCAGGCTATTAATAAACACATTGAACTCGACCCCATATACATTCCACTACGGAGGAAACCCGGAAGTGAGGCAATCCATCGCAACGGGCCCCAGAGTTTAAAAACCAGGCGGGAAAACACACCGACGCTTCATCAGAGGCTGCACTGAGGATGTGACCAAGCACGGTAACGAAACGTCTGCGGAACAACAAACTAGCTCGGCGAGCCAACCAACCTCAATCTACTAAAGACTTAAACTTATTCAACTGAAGAGCACACAACTGTCTGGAAATGAAAATTCAAAGGATTCACAATCCATTGAGTGAAGAAATTTTTCCTCATCTCAGTCCTAAATGACCAACCCCTTATCCTCAGTCTGTGCCTCAGTGTTCCAAATTCCTCAGCCACAGGATATGTCATGGTAGCAGTGACAGACATGTGACTCAAGCCAGAGCAGGACAGGATACATAACATCCTAAGTTATAATGTTTTTAGTAGGAAAAGGGTAAGTAGAGAAGGACCTGTAGCAGTCTTGGTCAAAAAAGTCACACAGCACTTGAATAAGATGCAGCTATTGAATTGGAATCTATATGGTCGGAGGTGAGAAACAGGAAGTGAGCGGTGACCTTGTTGGGAATTTATTACAGACATCAAGATAGTGGGAAGTAGAAAACAGCATTTGTAGGCAAATTATTAAAACCTGCAGGACAAGTACAGTTGTGACAGTTGGTGATGTTGATTAGGGAAGACTGGGAAAAATATAGAGTACGAGGAACAGAAAGGGAGAAATTCCTGCATGCATGCAGAACTTTCTGGAACAGTATATTTCCAGTCCTACCAGGAAGGAAGCTGTGCTGGATCTGATCGTAGGAAATGAGGCAGACAAAGTGGAGAATGTCAGAATTGGGGAACATTTGGGAAATAGCGATCATTACATAATAAAGTTCAATATTCAGCTGGAAAAGGATTTTTTTAAAAATCAGTCAAGCGTCAAAATCCCAGATTAGAAAAACGCAGATTTTAGGGATCTAAAAGTTGAAATGGACCAGGTAGCTTGGAAAGGCAGTTTGGTGGCTATAACAGTGGTTAAAATAATGGAAGACTGTAAAATAGAGATGAATAGGGTGCATACCCATGAGAAGTTAATACGGGATATCCAAAACTAGAGTGCCCTTGATGACATAGGATATTAATGAGAAAATAAGGTGGAAAAAGGAGGCATATGATGCATACAGGAATCATAACAGCAATAGAAATCAGGAGTAGTATCTCACAAGCAGGAAAGAGGCTAAGGTTGGAATAATGAAGGCTAAGAGAAGCATGAGGAAAGGATAAAAAAAACAGAAGTTGCTGGAAAAGCTCAGCAGGTCTGGCAGCATCTGTAAAGTAAAATCAGAGTTAACGTTTCAGGTCCGGTGACCCTTTCTTGGAACTGGCGGAAAGGATGGCAAATTAAAAAAAATTGACATATTAATAAGGATAAAGTGGGGCCCATAAAGAACAATCAGGATAAACTGCTCACAGAAGAAAAGGGTATGGGAGAGGTACAATGTTGCTGTCTTTACCAAATTAAAAATGATGACAATGGCCCAATTGAAAATGTGGGTACTGAGCAACTTAGCAGTATAGTGATAGATAAATAAGCGGTATTAAAAAGGCTGGCAGCAATCCAGGTAGAGAAGTCAGCAGGCACAGATAGGAACGCATCTGAGATTACTAAGAGAAGTAAGGGAGCAAATCATAGAGCCTTTTACAGAAATTTTCCAGGCACCTGTGAACACAGTGTTAATCCCAGCGGACTGGAGGGTTGCAAATGTGACACTGTTCTTTTAAGAAAGGGTCAAAGGATAATCCAGGAAGCTACAGACCTGTCAGCCTGAAATCAATACTGGGAAAACTGAAGGACTCCATTATACGGGATCAGATAAATACACACTTAGAGAAAAATAAGTTAATACTAGACAGTCAACATGGCTTTGTCAAGGACAGGTCATGTCTGGCAAATTTAACTGAGTTATTTAATGGTGTGACACAGGACATCCATGAGGGTAACATGTTGTATATTTGGACTTTCAGAAAGCATTTGATACAACGCCACATGGCAGGCTGGTTAGAAAACAAGAAATTCTTGGGATCGATGGATCCTTGGCAGCATGGGTTAGAAGTCGGCTAAAAGATATGAACTGAGGGTAGGTATAGATGGACATTTCTCAGACTGGAGTTTCAAAGTGGTGTTCCCCAGAGATCAGTGTTGAAACTTGCTTTTTTTGTTTAGTAGAAACAATTTGGAAATGGGTGTGGAGGGCAAAATCTCTAAATTTGCCAACAATACTAAGGAAGTGACTTCAGAGAGACATTAACAAGTTGACCCAAAGGATACAGGCAATATGGCAAATGAATTCCAATGCACATAAATATGAGGTAATGCATTTTGGAAGAAATAACATGGAGAGACAAAGCAGGGTCAATGGTAGACCTTTCAGGAGAGTATAGGAGCAGAGGAAACTTGGGGTTCAAGTGCATAGTTTTCTGATGGTGGCCAGACAAATTGAAACAGTTGTTAAGAAGGCTTACAGGATCATGGAGGCATAGGGTATAAAAGATAGGAAGTGATGCTATATCTCTACAAATCATTGGTCAGACCACATTCGGAGTATTGTGTTCAGTTCAGTTCTGGACACCTTAATTAAGGAATGACATTAAAGCCATGCAGAGAATGCAATGGAGATTTAGCAGAATGATACCAAGAATTAGGGACTGTAGATGCAAAGGAAGATTAGAGAAATTGGGCTTATTCTCCTTGGAGCAGAAAAACTTAACAGGTGACCTTATGAGATGTTCAAAATTATGAGAAATTTTAAAAGGGTAAAGAAAAATATTCTGTTTCCACTATTTGGTACGTCAGTAAGTACTGTCACAATTTCAAGACTGTCAATATGAGAGGTAGGAGTGAGATGAGGGAAAATTTCTTCACTCATAGTTGTTAGGATTTGGAATGCGCTATCTGGGAGACTGGTGGAGGCTGATTCCAGAGGACGTTTCAATAAAGATCTGGATATACTGTTGAAGGTGATTAATTTAGAGAACTACGGAGATAGGGCTGGAGAATGGGAGTGGTTAGGTAGCTCTCTCGGGACGCAGTACAGACATGCTGGGCCAAATGGCTTCCTTCTGTAGTGGGAAATTCCTTGATTCTAAGGTTCTATCCTCTCAGTGTCAACACTGTCAAACCCCTTCAGCACTAAAACAGCTTTTTGCCTGATTACTTCACAATGTATTGGTACAGGAAACTGTAACAAAAGCATTCTACATACTCACCCTTCAGACTAACTTTGCAAACTCTTTTTCTTAATTCACTCATGTGACATGGAACATGGGCTTCGCTGGCTGGCCAGCATATACTGCCCATCCCTAGTTGCCCTTGAGAAGGTGGTGGCAAGTTGCCTTCTTGAACTGCTGTAGTTCACATGCTGTAGGTTGACACACAATGCCCTTAGGAAGTCAATTCCAGGATACTAATCCTATCACACTGAAGGAATGGCAATATATTTTCAAATCAGGATGGTGCGTTACTTGGAGGGCAACTTGCATGTGGTGGTTTTCCCATGTATCTGCTGCCCTTGTCCTTCTAGATGGAAGTGGCTGAGTGCTAGAAGGTGCTGACTAAGAATCTTTGGTGAATTTCTGTAGTGCATCTTGTAAATGATACACAATGCTGCTACAAGCTTCTTGAGTATTGTTGGAGCTGCATTCACCCAGGCAAATGGAAAGTACATCACACTCCTGACATGTGCCTTATAGATGGTGGACAGGCTTTGAGGAATCAGGTGGTGAGTTTCTTGCTGCAGTATACCTGGCCTCTGACCCGCTCTTGTAGCCACTGCGCTAATGTAGTAAGTCCAGTTGAGTCTCTGGTCAATGGTAATCCCCAGGATGTTGATAGCGGGGAAATTCAGTGATGGTAACACCATTGAATGTCAAGGGTACACTGGTTAGATTGTCTCTTATTGGTGATGGTCATAGCCTGGCATTTATGTGGCACAAATGTTACTTGCTGCTTGTCAGCCCAAGCCCAGATACTGTCCAAATCTTGCTGCTTTTAAACATGGACTGCTTAGGTACCCAAGTTGTCACAGACGATACTGAACATTGTGCAATCATCGGCGAACATCCCCCCTTCTGAGCTTATAATGAAGGGAAGGTCATTGATGAAGTAGCTGAAGTTGGTTGGGCCTAGGACACTACTATGATGAACTCCTGCAGAGGGATATCCTGGAGCTGAGATGACTGACCACCATCAACCAGGCCTATCTTCCTTTGTGTCAGATATGACTCCAGCCAACAGAGAGTTGGCCCCCCGATACTCATTGATTCCAGTTTTGCCAGGGCTCCTTGATGCCAGACACAGTCAAACGTGACCATGATGTCAAGAGCTGTCATACTTAGCTCAAATTCAGCTCTTTTGTCCATATTTGAAACAAGCTGTAATGAGGTCAGGAGCTGAGTGGCCCTGGCGGAACCCAAACTGGGTGTCACTGAGCAGGTTATTGCTGAGCAGGTGCTGCTTGATAGCACTTTTGATGACACCTTCCATCACTTTACTGATGATCGAGAATAGACCGATGGGGCGATAATTGGCAAGGTTGCATTTGTACTGCTTTTTACGTACAGGACATAACTGGGCAATTTTCCACATTGTAGGGTCGATACCAGTGTTATAACTGTACTGGAACAGCTTGGCTAGGAGAGCGGCAAGCTCTGGAGCACAAGCCTTCAGTGCTATTGCTGGAATATTGTCAGGGCCCATTGCCTTTGCACTCCAGTCCAGTCTATAAGAAGGTTAAAGCCTCTTCCCCAACCCTCAACATTCTCTTTATAACCTGCTGCATTTATTGTTTAGTGTTCTATCCACTATGTAGTCTTTAACTTTACTATTTTACCGCTATTCTTTGTACATACGCTATTAGCGGATGCACAATTAAAATCTGAACTTGCTGTTCCGCTCTGCTTGCCTCCATCCAAATTTTAATGCTGCTCTACAGCCTCAACTTTGCTCTTTAGATTTCTAAATCACCTTTCACCTGATCCCATTTCTCTCATTTAATTTACAGCAATATCCACAGTATTAATTACAACAAATGTTAGCTGTAATTTATTTTGTTTCTTTCTAGCAAAGATTTAGCCATCTTAGAGTACAAGACTAAAGCAGGATACTCCTGGATACACATACAGTATCTGTATATACCTCATGAACGTGAAACTGTTCCTTCACCTCCTCAACATCAGAGGATATGTCATCTTGCATATGAAGCGTGTCCTCAGCTGACAATAGCCATGTTAGAACGTCCTCCAAAACTGCCTGATAACCATCCAAGTCCACATCCATCTCGGGCACTGTACTAGAAGTTTCAGCCTGAGAGTCGAGGGTCTCCTTTTCAGAGGTTACATTCTAATCAAAGAAGAAGAATCCTTTACACATTCATGTTTACTTATCCATAAGTTAAGAACTTTGGAACATCTAAATTATCATCTGGCCCACGGGGGTTGTTCCAAACTGGGATCTCCAAGTCCTTTAGTTTAGCAGACTATATTGGTGTGTACACAATGCTGCTTCAAAGCCCACAAATAACTTACAGATATTTCAAGTCACAACCGTAAACAGATTCCGGCACTCTGAATTAGAAATACATATACACAGAGCAATCAAACAACTTCAGTCTCTGAAAGCTCAGACAGGGCAAAACGGAAACAAATCAGTGGAACTGAGTGGTTTGGACTTTAAACATTGACAGCTAAAACTCAGGGGTCACTAGATCTGAAGACTGCCATTGGGCTATCCTGCATTCAAATTTTCATTTATGCTCACTGACTCTCTCCTTTTCTGGTGAAAACTGAAGTGATCTAACAACTTGTAATCAGTCACCTATTTGATACGATGTCCACTAGAATCAAAATTTATAGTTTTCATAATTTTTGTGTCATGGCACTTAAATGCAAAACCAGTGCTTTTCTGGTATGACTTGAATATAACTGAGGATTAGATAAATAGTTAAAAATTACAAGAAATAAAAAAGATTTTTTATTTATAATCTACAATGTACATGGGCTCATATTCAGCAATATTGTACATCTGCCTAACAGCTGTGCATGACGATACAGTGGTAGCCGGATAAGCACAGCAATGTTGAGGTATCATATAAACCAATATTCTAACTCAGCAATACACTAACCTCATCCCACTACTCCTACCAAGTATTACATTAGCCACATGATAACTGGCAGTTCCATACCTGTTGAGGCGCTAAAGGACCCTCTGCACATTCAAATTTGTACTGCCTTGGCAGAGTCTCCACTTCAAGGATGTCCTCCATAGTGACTTGTTGAGGGAGCACCTCAAATAAACAAGTCACGTACATGATGATGGATTTCTTGTCAGGAAGGCAAACAGCAATATCTAGATCAGAAAATAGCATGGATCAGAAACAGAGATCTAGACAAATATCACAGAGATGTAAAATGAAAGTGTAATGTTTATTCAACAATTTTAGGGCTCAAGCACCTTCTCCCATGTCTTTACCCCAACCCCCATGCACCAAGCCTTGTCATCATATGGGCTGCTCCCACAAACAACCTATTGTCAGCTACTAATAGTCCTCATTAGCAGCTATTCATTCTTCCAGGCTGACCTTTACCCAGTCCAAATGCCATTCCAACCAATCCATGCATTTTAAGAGGAACTGCAGGTGGACACACTCCCTACAGACAGAGTTGTTCGGAACATTTGACTTTTCCCTATTTCCCACATCTCACAGTTAGAGCATATCACTCCACTGACTGCCATTATTACCCCTCTTATGACAACTGGATTAAATGAAAAGGAAAGACCTTACCTTACTGTACCTTAATGCTGCTCATCCTCCTTTGCGAAGCCTGACACTCACCAAAGACCTAAACAGCAGCACTTCTGCTGCTGAGCCTCTGCTGTTTCTCAGCCACAACAAATTTTCTCACAGCTCCCTCCCTCTGTTTTTTTTTGGTTCAAGGAGGGAGGGAGGGAAACACTATAGTCATGTAATGCTTGTGACTTCATTATTCTTTGACACTGGGTCCTCCGTGATCCTCTTCCCAATTGTGGCGACAGCCAACTTCTCCCAGGATCCTCCTCTGTCATTTCCAACTACTTCCCTCTGTTGGATGCTTTTACACCTATTGAGCACCAGGTCCTCCACAATCTCCTTCTTAGTGCTGGTGAGCAAGCCAACTTCTACCAAAATCCTCCTCCATCATTTCTCACTGCCACCCGCATCCATCATTTACAAGATACAAGTCAGGAATTGGATGGAATATTTATCACCATCCAGGAAAAAAGCAAAATAAAATTTGTGCCCCATCTACTACTATAAACATTCACTGCCTCTGTTCGTGTTGCACCATCTATCCAGTGTATCCCATATACAAGGTGCACTGCAGCAACTCAGCAAAGCAGATCACCAGTACCTTGTAAGACTGCAGGTCATGCCATCTAAAAGGAGAAGGGGAGCAAATACATGGAAACATCACCATCCACAAGTTCCTCTCCAGTTCACACACCATCATGACTTGGAAATGGGATCATTGCTGCTAGCACAAAATCATGGAATATGCAAGCTAACAGCGGTGCAACCGTACCTGCACCACTCAAACTGCAGCATTTCAAGATAGCAGCTCACTACACTATCTTCCGAAGAATATTTAAACAGATGTACAATAAATGCTGGCTTGCTTGTAACACTATCCCATGAGAGAGTAAAAAAAAGACAACCATCTCAGTTTAACATTGCAAATTGTTCAAGTCTGAAAATAATTAGGCAAGCAATTGGAATAACATAGTTAAGGAATACTGGACTCTAACTAAACCAATCATGAATGAATTCAATCATCAAAAACAGGTCATGCCACAAATGGCTGATGTTACATGCAACTGAGCAATCCATTTCAAAGTTGTGAGAAGCCATGGAGTTGAGGGCATCCAATACAAATTTCAGGCTCCATAGGAGAATCACTTTGTCTTGAGTAATCTTTTCACAATCACCAGGTACAAATCATTAAAGCAACGTTTGATTGGCACAAACAGACAACCAATTTCACAGTATTAAAATTTCAAATTTAACTGGGCTACAACTTATGAAAAGTATCTAAACGTTGTCAGTAAATGCAGACAAAATAACAGTTAAGAAAACCATGTGAACTCATGTACTGACATTGAAAGCAGTCCAGAGAAGGTTCATTAGGCTGATACCAGGTATGAGGGGGATTTTATTATGAGAAAAGATTGACTATGTTGTGCGTGTACTCATTGGAGTTTAGAAAAATGAGAAGTAACCGCCATTCCATTAGTTACAGAACAGCACATTTTGAAGCCAACCAGACTGCGGACTACTAGACAAGGTGCAGTGCAACAAATAGGATTTATTAAAGACCTAATGGTGAAGGTGTCACTGGGTAGCAGTAATCATGATATAATTGAATATTACATTCTGTTAAGGGAGAGAAGAGCCAACCCTAGACTAGTAATTTAACTTTAATAATGGCAATTATGAGGGCACAAAAGCAGAGCTAGCTAAAATGAACCTGCAAATTAGGTTAAGGGATAGGTCAATAGCAATACAGTGACAGGTGTTTAAGGGGATATTTACAATATGCAATATAGATACATCCCAACGAGAAAAAAAAATGGAAGGACCCACAATCCACAATTAACTTTAGAAATTTATGAGAGTATCAAACTTAAAAGATATATAATTGGACAAAGATCTGTGCCAGGTCAGAAGATTTTATAGAGTATAAAAACAGCAAAAAATAAAGACAAAGATCAATAAAGAGGAAAAAATAGAGCAAAAGAGAAAGCTAGCTACAAATATACAAACAAATGAGCTTCTATAAATATTTTTAAAAGAAGAGTTATTAAAGTGAGCTTATTGAAAGGGAGTCTGAAGAATTAACAATGGAGAATAAATAAATGGTAGATGAATTGATCAGGTATTTTGTATGTGTACACTGTAGAGGATTGTAAGTAACATTCCAGAAATAACTATAAATCAGGGAATGGAAAGGAAGGAGGAAGTCAAGAAAATTACTATCACTAGAGAAGTGCTACCAAGCGAATTGTTGGAGTTGCAAGCTGTTATGTCCAAGGTCTTCACAGACTTTATTCTAGCGTCTTAAAGAAAAGGCTAGTGAGATAGTTAATAAGACCATAACAATTAGGAACAGGAGTAGACCAATTGGCCCCTGCAGCCTGCTCCAACATTCATTTGGACCCGAGCTGATCTGACATTCTACACGTCCACGTTCCTGCCTTTTCTCTGTAACCTTTGATTCCCCTCTGCATTAAGAATCTATCTATACTAGCCTTAAATGTACACAAGGATTAGATGCTGGTGTTGGATTGGGGTGGACAAAGTAAAAAGTCACACAATGCTAGGTTATAGTCCAACAGGTTTATTTAAAATCATAAGCTTTTGGAGCACTGCTCCTTTGTCAGATGAAGAAACAGTCCTCCAAAAGCTTGTGATTTTAAATAAACCTATCAGACTATAACCTGGTGCTGTGTGCCAGCTGTCTCTGGCAATGAGTTCCAAAGACAGTCAATGCTCTGATAGAAGAAATTTGTCCTTATCTCAGTCTTAAATTGGTAATATTCATAGCAAAACAGATGTATTGATAACTCAAGTAGAAATGAATAATGATTAGAGAATGACTACAACATGACAAAGCCTCAAACCTGAATGGTCACAGATACATCATGCTTTGGTAGAACCAGAAGCTAGGAAAAGGAGGAGATTAAGTTGGACAATTGTACAGCAGAAAGGAATGACCTTACTTCTAAAAATCAAAGTGCAGAAAATCAGTTTGGATAGACATAAGAAATAGTTGAGCCAGGACTTCACTTAGGGAGCCAACAAAATACTCCCTTAACATCATTGTAGGACAGGATTTACACGAAGAAATTATGTGGGCTTGTGACAATGGTACAGTGACAATCATGGACTATTTTAAATTTTTTATAGATTGGACAAGTCAGATTAGCATAGTTACCTTAGAAGAGGAGGTTGTGGAATGTTTCAGGACAGTTTCTAGGAAGTGTCCAACCAGAGGGCAGGCTATTCTAGATACCGTAATATGCAATGAGAAAGGATTGATGAATAATCTTAGAATAAAGATGTGCCTGGGTAGCAGTGATTATAATAGAATTGAATCTCATATGGTGTTTGAGCGACAGGAGAGTGGGTATAAAGCTGTTTTAACCTTAAACAAGATTATTAAGGTACCAATATAAAACTGGCTATTGTGAAGCAGTAAGTTAGGATAAGGAATAAATCAGTAAAGTTGCTTTTGCAGTCATTTAAAGAAATATTACATAAGACTCAGAAAATATATACTTCAGTGAGAAAGATTCCATACTATGGCTACATCATCCATGGCTAACTAAGGCAGTCAAAGATAGAATTGCACGCTTTTTGTTTCAGTTTGATACTATGAAAATTAGTGGCAAGTCCAACGAAAGGACAGACTATAAAAAAAGCAACGAATGGTTAAAAGGATAGAAAGCAAAGAGAAATTAGAGTACAAGGGAAACCTAGCTAACAATATAAAACCACCAGGCATTGAAAAAGGAAAATGTAGCAAGCACAGCTTCTTTAGAGAGTGTGTGCCTAGGGATTCCATAATGGAAAATCATAAAATGGCAAGTGGATTGAACAAAAACTTTGTGTCAACTTTCACTGTACAGGATACAAATAATATTCCAGAAATAATTGTGATGCAAAAGTTGAAACAGAGGGACGAACTTAAAACAATTACAACCACCAGGAAACGGGTATAGAAAATTATTCAAACTGAAAGCTGATAACTCCCTAACTCCTGATGGATTTCATCCTAGGGTCTTCAAACAAGTGGCTGCCAATATAAAAGATACATTGGTTTTAACTTCCCAATGCTCTCTAGATGCTGGCAAGATTCCATCAGATTGGAAAAAATGCAAATGTAATAATTCTTCTATTCAAGAAAGTAGAGAGACAGAAATTAAACACTACAGTTAGCTTAACCTCTGTTGTAGGGAAAATGCTGGAGCCTGTTAAGATTAAAACAGGGCACCTTGAACACTTTATGCACATCTTCATGGCAGAATCACCATGGTTTTGTAAAAGGGAAATCATGCTTCAATAAGTTCTTTGAGGAAGTAATATGCAACATAAATCAAGTGGAATCTGTGAATGTGGTGTACTTAGCTTTCCAGAAACAGACAATGTGAAAGATCAAAGTCATTACAGAAAGTAAAAGCTCATGGTGAATGGGTAATTTTAGCATGAGAGAAGACTGTATAGCTAACAGGAAACAAAGATAGGCACACATGGATCGTTTCAGATTACAAAATGTAATGAGTGGAATGCCACAAGGATAAGTGCTGGCACCTCAATTATGCACATCTATTTCCATGACTTGGATAAAAGGAACAAATGTACGGTCGCTAAATTTGCTAATGACACAAAGACAGGTGGTAAACTACGTTATAAAGATGGCATAAGGGATCCACAAAGAGGTACAGACGAATTAAGAGAGTAGGTAAAAATTTGGCAGATGGATATAATGTGGGAAAACATGAGGTAGTCCATTTTAGCAGGAAGCATATTATTTGAAAGAAGAGACACGGCAGAAGTCTTGAGATACTGAGGGATCCAGGCATTCTGGATATAGGAACATCAAGTTAGTCAGCAAATTTATTAAGTGATTAGGAAGGCAAATGAATGTTGTCATACATCACAAGAAGAACATAATATAATAGTTGAGATGTTTTACAAAAGTTGTAGAGGGCAAAGCTGAGACCATATTTAGACTATTGTGTGCAGTTTGGGTCTCTTTATTTAAGGAATGGCATCATAGCATTGGAATCAATGGAACAGAATGTATCTAAACATCAGCACAGAGATGATTTTATTGAAATTCAAGATCCTGAGGGGATTTGACAGAATACTGGCGAAAAAGATGGCCTACCTTGTGGGAGAGACCACGACTAGGAACACAGTTTAAAAATAAGGGATTGCATATCTATGTAGAGATGAGTGTGTATGCATGTAAAATCTTCTTCCCAAGAGAATATTTTTAAGGCAGATGTGAGTAGATTCTTGATAACAGAGGAGTCTGGGGGCAACAGGAGTAGGCAGGAGGGTAACGCTGAGGGTACAATTGGCTCAGCCATGATCTTGTTTTGAATGATGGAACAGGGTTTGATGAGTTGAATGCCCTACTCCTGCTCCTAATTTGTTTTCTCATGTAAACCTTCACTGACTTTGTCTGATCATAGCATGTGTTATGGACCAGAACAGACCCCCTCAATATATTTTAAAAAGATAGCTTGACCCTAACTTTTTCTTATTTTAAAGGCAAATGTAACATGCTGTGTTCCAGATACAATTCAACTTGTCAATCTACTTAATGTTGTGCAAAATGCAATTTATTAAAATATTATAGTTAAAATACAACATAAGAAAGAAGAACTTAGAATAACTTAACTGTATTGGAAAACTTAACAGAGTAATTGACACTGTAACTATTACTAATTAACTGCTCTAATATAATAACATCCCATAAACACATCCCTTGGCAAAAAAGGCAAATTCAGGAAATAGATTTGTCTCTCAGGTAACCCAGCAGCAGAGAGAAACCCCAGCTTCTAGGTGTAACCGAAAGAGGGAAAAGATAGTTTCCACTTCTTCAAAACTCTAGCAGCTTCTGCCCTTTTGAGACTCCACAGTAATTGCTTAAAGCTAACCCTAAAACTAAAAAAAAACTAGAAACCCTAGTCTGTGAAAGCTAGCCACACCCAACCAGGCTGCTTCTATTGTTCCAATTTTTAAAAAAAACACAAAGCCTAATAACCACAGACTGCTTGGTACCTCTCATTCAATCTCTCTCTTAAAAGAAACCAGGATGAAATACACTTCTAAAAAAAAACGACATTGTCATATGTTATTTACAATATGTATTTTATTGGCTTCATAAATAATAAAGTCCAGAATTTTCCTACCATGTTCACACTGTGGCAAAATTACTTCCAAGTCGCTGTTCATGCACCTGAGGTGATACATGATAATATCTCAGTAACTACTCTACTCCAGCTCTAAATCTCCCTCCCATGACCCATTACCTCTTTAGCAACTAGGGCAAGATCACAAACACAGCCAGCAAAGGACAAATCCTTTGAAGTAATGCTTAGGCTCACCTATTCACACCATTCAGAATCATTTCATTGCACTTCTGCAATGCAATTGAGCCAGAACTAACACCAAGCAATAGCTAACCTTCAGGGTCCAGAAGTCTTTCTATCTCCAGGTGCTTTTTAGCCAGGTCAAAAGCATGTTCCAGGCGACCCACCGCAGACATTTTCATAACTTTATCCCAGCTGAACAAACCTGGTCTGGAAGAAAGGCACAGTCTCAAAACAATACTTTGCTAAGAAACAAAACGATGCAGGAGAATAGTTTTAAAAGTTACAAATGATCCTGGATTGCCTAGGTCTCAGTGGGAACTGGATCACAAAATACCAGCAGGTCTCCAGGCTCAATTTTTGATCTATTCTCACTTTTGGCCATTGGTGACAAGGAATTGCCACATGAGACAAAGCACCATCACTACTCCCTCACCAGTACAGAATGGCAGGTATGCGTGGATGTCAGGTAACGACAGGCCCAAGTCATCTGGGTCAAATGGCCTAAAGGAACTCACCGATGAGGTGAGCAGAAGATTAACAAACATTCTCAATACTTCTTGCATCCTCTTCTTATACAAATCATACATAATGTTCCATCTGGTGCTGCAGAAACTGAACAGCAGAAAATCCCCACCAATGGCTTCAGCTTACCAATTTAACTGGAGGAAATTTCTGCTCATCAAATACTACAATGTCAGACAAAGAGTCTCATAATTTAGTGAAGGAGTTGAAAGAGATGGCATTAACACACAGCTGAGCGTGGTCAGCAATGTGAAAACAAATGGCATGTCCTTCAGAAGATGTCATCAAGTGGTAGTACAGACAAAGTAATGGCTTTGAAGGTTAACATTTCAACCAGCAATCATTTCCTGTAACATGTAAAATCCTCTAATGCAAGTACCATTTTCTTAAGTTAAAACACATCTAATTTCCCAATTATTGATGAATACCTACTTGTGCCTATGAAGAATGGCATTGAAAGCAAGCCCATCAGCCCAGCTGGTTGTAAAATTCAGAACATTTACTTGTTTGTAAGGTCGGGTCGATTGACGAACCCAACTCAGCAGAATCTTCTCACTGTTTGTCTGCTGCAGATCTGACATTATAGCTTTCATAATATCCTTGACCTGCATGAAAATGATATATGATTAGTCAACTTAAAATAGCTCAAAATGAAGACTAAAGCTAAACTACTTGAATCTCTGGCAGTAGCTACACTATATAATAAAAATAATTGCTCAATCATTAAGTGGACATTCAGTTCTCTTAAGAAGCATCTAATCCATTCTATCAACTACCTGTTAATTCAGGATGATTCAGTCAAGTTTACTTGGACTGCATGAGATGGTAATCATGTCATTCACATGTTGGAGTTATTTGTTAAAATCAATTTTGTACCAATCCTCTAGCTGTAGAAGCTGCAGGAGAACCCTTCAGTAGATGAGCTGTACTGGTAACTGCTTACTCACCTGCCAGTGTAGAATTATACTCCAAATAAGCCCAAGTGTCAGTTTATGATTTCCATCCACAATATCAGTTCCACCAATATTCACCAGCTCCACCTGGGGAAAGGAAGAAAGACAATACAAATTTTTACATCACAACAGAAACTAAAGTCTTTTAAAGATTCGCCAAGTTCTACACTTATTTCAAAAGTCAATCTCAAAGAGCAAAAGCACTGTATCCATTCGCAGTTCATCTCAAAGGAATGTCACTACATTGCATGTCTATAGTTTGCTCATTCCATGCAAGTGCTATGGTATGAAATGAACGCACAAAACATACAATCCCATCCACAACGTAATCAAGCCAAAGTTTTTAATATTTAAGATAATGAGAAAGAGACTTGGGAGTCCTGGCAAAAGATGTCAATAGGAGGTTCCTTCAGTGAAGAGTCATACATAAAGCAAAGAATATGGATGTGGTGTGATTTATCAATTAACTCTATTCTAAAACGTCACAACAGAAGTTCCTCAATGAACAGTGCATCGTTTAGCCACCTTTAGAAGTTTCATTAAGAATTTTTCTAGTTAATAAAATCAGGAATGGAACTATATAATAAATTTCTACAATATTCAATCTGTTCACAATTCTCCCAATAATCAAGCAACCAATGGTATCTAACAGCAAGATCAGGATAACATCCAGGCTTGTCACAAAGGTGTCAGGTATTAACCACCTTGAATCGGCAGAAAGCACAGTTACTTATCAGTTCTTGACCTTCAGTGTAACCAACTTCATCAAGTCCCCCAGCAAATTTTGGGAATCAATATTAATCAAAAAGCCAGTCAAGTTAAAATTGTCACAGAGTGGACCGCTTATAATTCACTGGCCATGGCCGTGATTATGTGCAAGCTTTCAAATGCTAGTCAGAGATGGTGACACAGAACAAGCCAGATAATTATGAATGGAAACTCAAAAGTACTTTAATGTTAAATCTATCATTTACCTATCATCAAATGATTTTGTAAGTTATAAGGTTGCACGTGAATGCATTCCTTAACAAATGGTTTCATATTCAAATCAGAATTAACATTACATTTCTAAAATCTTCACGAGGGCCATTTTATTTCTGAAATACTGTAATTATAATCTATGTCTAAATTTTCTTTTCATTAGGCAATCTTAAAATTTCCTGGTATCTAATACCGCTTTTTTGGAATTACTCCATATTTTCTCTTTATTATGGAAAAGGTACATGCGTCTTGTGAAATCACTGTATGGATTGACACAACGCGCTTGCAGAAAAATAAGGATTTTGTTTCATCAATTAACAAGATCAGATGGAGGAAAAATGTGCAATTTGATCTCAAATCCAAATGATAACTGTTCACTTTTTCCACTTATAGTCCCTGCCAATGATGATAATACTGATCCCAAGTGAGACCTGTCTTGATAAACCATAAGTTTTAATTTCTGTCTTTTACTGAGCTGGAAGTCAATAACTGAGGACCATGGGGCTGTTCTCTCATTAGAGACAGCGAGAGAGCGAGAGAGAGAGAGCGAGAGAGAGCGAGAGAGAGCGAGCGAGCGAGAGAAAGCAAGAGCGAGAGAGAGAAAGCAAGAGCGAGAGAGAGAGAGCGAGCGAGAGAGGGAGAGTGAGAGAGGAAGAGCGAGAGAGGAAGAGCGAGAGAGG